GGCGGGGGGAGACCTTTCGCCGCAGCCAGTGGCGGGGGAAAGCATGAAGTCATGTCAGGTCCCCGCTCTAGTCCGCCCGGGGCTAGTACCAGCCCCGTCCCTCTGCGGTTGCTCCGTAGCCCCCAGACGCAGAAGCGGAGGCAGCCTTAAAAAACAAACAAACAATATAGCGCTATATTAAAATATAAGAGGAGCTTCATTTCTGATACGAGTGGCTACCCATGGAAGTCCCCGGGGGGCCGGACGGCAAATGGCCACAAAGCAGAGGGTTCAGATAAATTCGGCTGAGCTGCGGGGGCGGGGCAGGAGCGCAGGGGCCGCGGCCTCCTCGCAGCACTTCCGGGTTCCCGACTCAGGCCGGGCAGCCGCTCGCTGCAGCCGAGCGCGGTAGCCCCGCCCCTCGACGGGCCCTTGCCATTGGTCACCGTCTTGGGACGAGAAGTCCCTCCCCAACCCCTGGCCTTTGCCGTTTAGGAAGGGGTTTTGCGGTCGTGGGACTGAGGGGGAAAAAAACAGATTATACACTAAAAGAAATCAAACATCCACAATAACATAATTTTCTTTTTAAAAAATATTGTTGTCCTGATGTGTGCAGTTGTGTCATGTATATACAGGTGATTGCATAATAGCTCAACATTGAGCCTTACTCGTATTGTGGGGGTTGTGGGTGTGTGTGCAGCGAGTGTGGGTGTGGGAGGGTTGTGGGGTGTGGAGGGGGAGGGTGGCTGAGGGTGTGCACAGGTTTGCGCATGTGGTGGGGTGTATGGGTGTAGCAGTGAGCAGGGCTCCCCCCCCAGAGGTGCGCAGGTGGGGGTGTGGAGGAGGGTGTGGGTGGGAGCAGTGTATGTGGAAGTGGTGGGATGTGCGTGGGAGCCCCCCTGCATGTGCCCCCCGAGCTGGTCTGCACCTGCCCCACAACAGCCCATAGCCTATGCGCCATGTGTCACCTCCCTGCCATGACCAACAGCACGCAGCCCCAACCCTGTCCTGCACCCTCTCTGGACTGACTCTGGCAGGAGCGGACCAGCTGGAACCCATGCCCCAGCCAGCAGTAGCTTCTTTCATGTGCTGCTGCTGCTGGTGGCCCCAACTCTGCAGTACTGGTGGGGACTTGCACCCCAGCCCTGACTCAGCCTGCCCTGCACCTGCTCACAGAAACGGCGGCAACACTGGCTGCGCAGAAACTTGCTCAGCGCAGGGGAAAAACCAGCTCCTCCCCCTTGCTGCTACCCAGTGCTTGCTTCAGCCTCCTGGAGCCTGTGCTTGGGCTGCCCTGTGGCTCCACAGCTGTCACCAGGCTGCCCTGGTGGCAGCACAGAGGAGCCACAGGGCAGCCCATGCACGGGCTCTGGGCACCTGCAGCAGGAAGCACCAGGCAACGGCAAAGGGGAGGGGCTCTTTTTTCCTCACACTGAGCAATAGTTTCTGCCTGGCGGGCACTGCTGCTGCCCCCATTTAGTGTGAGCCCGGAGCAAGTGGGGCAGGCCAGGTTGGGGCTGTGGTGTGGGCTCCCACTGGGCTGGGGCCACTGGTGGCGGCAGATGGAAGCTGCTGTTACCTGCTCTGCCTAGAAAGGGGGTGGCTGGACGTGCCAAGGCCAGACAGTGCCTGGGCCAGGTGGGACTGAGAGACCTGCTGTGGGCCTAACAAAGACCAGCCACCCGGCTCTAAATGGTGGAGGCTGCAAGTGGGAGAGGAACAATGGGAAAACCCTGGTTGTACCCTGGTCACTCTCCTTTTCAGCATCTGCGCTCTGCCACAACATGACACAACACTGGGCATGATGATGACCCTATCATCTGACCCAGTGAGTGGAAGTTTTCATGTTCTTATGGTATCTGCGGCAGGAAAAAACCCAACTAGTTTGATCCACACCAAAGTGTTTTGGGCCACACCAAATCCAGATTTTATAGACAGTCAGACTCAGTGTCCCTCTTTAAGTACCCATGAATTATCCAAATTAACAAGCAAGCCTAATTTGACTTAAGACTGGCATCTGTTTTGGTGCAAGTCATAGACAAAACCAGTATGTCTCACAAAAAGCCCCAAGCCGGCTGTCTGTTTCCAGCCTGGAGTACCCACTCAACCAACAGTCATTTTGTAACTGTTTCTTACCTGGTGAGGGCCAAGGGGAAAGAACTGGTTTGGATAGTCAGTGATTCCCCTAAAGTGCAGCAAGGCTATCCATGGCAGTTACACAGAAAAGCAGCACCCAATAGATAATCCAGGTGATTATTGTGATCTATCATGCACTTTATCCTTGGATAACACTATGGTTAAGGTTGTGGCAAGATAATTCCCTAGTATTTTGTTTCCATGATCCCCACCATCAGCTTGGTTGTTTGGATAAAATTTAGCCTCATTGTTTCAGCATCCGAAACTCTTAAGTGGACAGTTTCATTTGAAAATATATGCTATCTTCTCTTTGCTGGCTTCCACTTCTCAGTTAAGCAGGTCTGTACATCCATACTTATCAACCAACTACAACTGTTATACATAGAATTTTATTATCTGAGATTTTTAAAACACTCAAACCAGTTTATGTAGTTAATCACTCATTTGGATAACATCAGCACTAATGCCCAGAAAATAGAAGTATGTGAAAATAACAGAATAATGAGCAATTTTTTCCATATTCTCTTTAAATTAAAACCTTTCAGAGTTTCTTATTTGCCTCCTAAATAGCCACAGCCCCACACAGCAAAGCGATATCTCATTGTTATCATCAAGATAACTATTCATGCCACTGTTTCCATGTGAGTATCCTTGCAGGCATCACGTCTTGTTGTCTGATCACACAAGCACATTGTCCCTAAAGCTAAATGCATTGTTTGTTTTAACATGTTAATAATTTTATGGAAAGAAATTAGTGTTAAAGACTCCTGAAAGTTATCAAGTTAGTTACATTTTTAGCGTACTATTGACACTTCTGGAACTATGCTTGGATGCATGTCCTTTTTCAAAACGGCAGAGTTAATGTCATTATAACTCAAAGACTGTCAAGGAAACAAATAGTTATAATGCAATATCTTTTACATCAAGATTTTTGATGTACAACATTAGTCAGAAATAGCATGCTTATAAAACTTGTGAACTCACAACTTGTCTTTTTCTAATTGGTTTTTGGTAACAGCTCCAACCCCCTTTAGACTTGTTCTATACTGTACTGCTAAATTCTCTAACCATGGTTGCAACTTAGTAGCATGAAGGAAAAAAAAATCAGACTGCTATGCCTACAAAAAACTCTGGTGGAGCAGCTGCTGTGCTGGCAGGAGGGTGATTCTGCTGGCTCTTTGTATGAGACAGCAAAATGGCTCTATGGTGTCACTATGCTGGCAGAAAAAATCTTCTGCTACGTATACTGTTTTCAGTTGGGGCCCTAGCAGCATAACTGGGCCAACCTAACTTTATCATCAGAGGCTCTGTAGCACAGCTGTGCCCTTGTTTTGCATGTGAAAACAGGCAATGTCCTCTATGTTCGTGTACTACATTTCTATTCAATATTTTATTTCCCATCTGCTACACAGATATCTCTATGGCTTGGGTGAACATTCACAGGTGCAAAATTTGTCCATTTCCTACCTTGATGTCTTTTGAGGATGCTTTCATTCACATTTGTATGCCTTTCTGGTAAAATGTAGTTCCACCTAAAGATAACCAAGCTAGCACAGCTACCATGATGCTGTCCTGGCCTAGATGCTGCCCTGACCGACTGGGGCACAGTTTCATAGTAGGTAGGGTTGGAAGGGACGTGAGCAGATCATCAAGTCCATGGCAGGAAAGAGTACTGGGGTCAAATGACCCCAGCAAGGTGTTCATCTAGCCTCCTCTTAAAGACCCCCAGGGTAGGAGCCAGCACCACTTCTCTTGGAAGTTGGTTCCAGATCCTAGCTGCCCTGACAGTGAAGTAGGGCTTCCTGATGTCTAGTCTGAATCTACCCTCTGCCAGCTTGTGACCGTTATCTCTAGTCACTCCTGGTAGCCCTGGGGGGAACAGGGACTCCTTCAATGCTTGCTGGTCCCCCCTGACTAGTTTGTAAACAGCCACTAGATCCCCACTCAACCTTCTCTTGTGGACCTGAACAGGTTCAGGTCCCTTAGCCTCTCCTTGTAGGGCCTGCCCTGATCACCCTGATCATGCAGGTGGCCCTCCTCTGGACCCTCTCCATGTTGTCCACATCTCTCCTGAAGTGCAGCGCCCAGAACTGGACACAGTACTCCAACTGCAGCCTGACCCATGTCACATAGAGGGGGAGGATCACCTCCTTGGACCTGCTTGAGATACATCTGTGGATGCATGACAAGGTATGGTTCGCCTTCCTGACCACTTCCCCACACTGTCAGCCCATGTTCATTTTGGCATCAATAATCCAAGATCCTTTTCTGCC